TATTTTTCTCTCTACGGCAAATTTCAACGTACTTGCCATCTGATTCTAGATCTGTTTGTAAAATTGGTACTTACGTATTAAACGGAGGCCACATTTTGTCAGCGCGCTGCGGCGGTTATGTTAGGTTGGGTTATCGTAAATATTATGTGTGTAGGACTTTCCTCGCTTCGTTATGAATCGATACCAGACGAGTTATACTTTCTATTATGATAACCCAACCTAACATAACCGCCGCAGCGCGCTGACAAAATGTGGCCTCCGTTTAATACGTAAGTACCGTAAAATTATTCAAGTGTATAAAGTTATTAGGTCCTATATAACAAAAATATCTCGTATTTAAAAACTTTTTAGAGATAAATATGTATAAGAAATAAACTATTAACGTGGAATATTCATTTCCTCCATAACCTCAAAAGAGCAAAAATTAATGTCGAATAAAATATGTTTGAATGATAGTAAGAAATAGTCGAACATAGAATCTCTTAGAATTTTTTGAAACAAACAGCTCAGTTTTGTTGGATCTGACGACTACTGCAGAATGTCATTTATTTGTTGAATCGGTACTGTGTAATACTAAAATGAACCGCGGAACGTGATCTAAGAATCGTTTTATCAGAGGTAAATCCGCCCCAACCAAACGTAGCAACGCACGGTAATCTCCAAATTTGATTGTCATATGTCAAATGGGGACTGGGATGTCACATCTGATTGTATCGCTTTGTATTACTCTACACTCACTTTGTCGTTTGCGTAAATCTTTTGTTTTATTTGACTGGGCTAAAATCTCAGTTACGGTATATTTGTTGACTTACACCAAGACAGGTTTATTAACTCAGTGTCTTATTAGTTAATTCTTAAAGGAGCATGACTGAAGTATTTTCTTAAAGTCCAGTAAGTAGCTTTTTTGAATCTTGTCAATACGTAATCTATATATATAAAGCTCAAATACCACTGACTCATTCATTTATTCATTCATTCACTCACTCATCATGAAATCTCAGAAACCATAAGACCTAGGTACCTGAAACTTGGCAGGCATCTTCCTTTTGGGTAGTAGGTGCTCACTAAGAAAGGATTTTACCCTCCGACCTCTGGGCTCCGCCCCAGTGGCTCTGAATTTTCCCATGTTAACCTTATGAGAAATGGAATTAATGAATCTTAACAGCTGGTTCAATTAATCAAGTTGGTTCTGTTCTATGATGTTCAATAGCATTAAAGTTACAAGGATTACCAACAGGGTGCAACACTATTATTTCTTTTACATTTATGACAACAGCTAATTTGCAACCAAAAGGTGAGTGAGCGTAGCGAACGAACTTCAACCTAGAGGCGAGTTAGCGTAGCGAACGAGCTAACCTGAAGGCAAGTGAGCGCAGCGAACGAGCTCCAACCTAAAGGTGAGTGAGCGTAGCGAACGAACTTCAACCAGGACGTGATTGAGCCATGCGAACGTGATCATCTTGAAAATTAAGAAGTTAAACGGGGCTAAGCCCGCGGGTTACAGCTAGTACATAATCTATCTATATATTAATAGGCAAGCATGTTTCTTTAAAACCTTTTTTCTCAGGTCGTGTGCATCGCAGAGAAAATCTACGCATACTGTTGGAAAGATATTTTCCTGTAGATGTGCAGAATGCCTCTAAAAATTAAAATAGGCTAACAAATAAGCACAAAAAATTAATTTGAAAACTTCAAAAAATTAACATGGAGCATATGGGTTGCCATGATGGTGACGAAATAACAACAAAATGTAAACAGAAAATCAAAACAAATGGAAGAAATTCAAATCACATGTGTTATTTACAGTGTGGGGAGAAAATAGAGAAGTCTGTACATTAATTATTTTTGGTCGAGTTTCGACCACAGGACGACCACTAGTAAATCATAGAACCACAAACAAATGTAAATGAAGGATTGATTGTATGAAATCGAGTTCCCCAATGGAGTCTTACTGATGCAGAACAACATTTTTACACTGATTATTACTTGTTACTCGAAAGACAGCTTTGACCTATGCAACTTACGTTAATTCGTAAACATTAAATTGTTTAACAGTAAAACTACACGAATGACTTTCCATACTTCATTACAAGCTGTCTGATACAAATAATGTGTATAGTCAGATTACCATAGTTGGGAGAACGCACTCACCTCATTATATTGCACTCAGTGAATGTAGATTCTATGTCTTATTCAGTAGTTTACCACAATGAAGGCGAGATAGATTTTTAGTAATATTTTAATTTTGGTAACAAATGTATAAATTTAAACTTTGTATATTAAACATTATTTTAGTATTTTAGCCCCAAAGTACACATAAAGTCACTACTAAACTTTTGGTTTTATATCAGGACACTTTAAACGTCGTGTATGTTAAGTCACAAAAGAGATTTTTATTAATAAAGTAAAAAAAAATATAAAAAAGCACATGAAACGAACAACACCACAAGGGGTCCATCAATCAATTAAAAAATGTTAGAAAAGCTTTCATCTACCACATCTATTGATTTTTCGTTTAAATTGATGTTTTACTAACACTATTTGACAAGTTTTAGTTAAGCTGCACAAACTGGTTCTTTATTGCATGTTGATTTAATGTGTAACTAAGATTTTTTAAATATCTCGATCTCTATCTATAATCTACATTTTATGGTGCAAACACTTACATACCTGTCTCGTGTTATGCTGTATGTTTGGACTTATGATTTTACAAACATGATAGAAGTTTTCTGCAAATATGTAAAACGTGCAAGTAACAAATATCAAGCTAATATAATCAATCTAAAAGTGTATGGCTTAAAATATTATAAACTAAATAATTAAGGCATCTACTTAGAAAAATGTGATCAAAAGATAACTAAAGTGTGTTATTTTTACACAAATATTGAAGAATATTTTGATAAATACTCTCTCACGAGAAAAGCTCGGTCCCGTGAAGAGAGAGTTTAAACATTTCTTTGAAAATTTAAATGGCCCAAGTCAATCTCATAAGAGTTTTTCCAAAAAAATTTAACACAAACCCTGTATATCGCCTATTATATACTGTAATTGCCTGACTATAATACAGGATAGTCGCAATGTATCGTAACGTAAACAACCTTGCTATACTAAAGGATATAAACAGAATACCTTACATCAATTAGTTTTAAATAATCTTTATTACTATAATAGTATCTTTTTCGATTAGAAGAAAGGAAGGAGGTTTTTTAGAACTGTAGGTTTATACCAATTTAACGTTGACCATAAAAACTATTGGTAATTCTGAGCAATTACTTGGTCAACCCCAATTTTTTTCATATTTTACTACGGTCATCAGGAGGTTCTCAGAAAGCAAGAAACATATAATTCAAGCCCCGCAAGGTTAAGTTAGGTTAGGTTAGGTTAAGTTAGGTTATTAATTAACCTAACCTAACCTAACGTAACGGTACTGTTACAATTGGCCTTAGAGATGTATTTGAGACTAAAAAAAACATAATAAGTTAGGTTTGGTTGTGTTTTCACACCCATCACATAGAAAAGGATTGTCGGAGGAACCACTAGCCGTAGCCATAACGGTACTGTCACAACTGGCCTTCCGCGTGTCTCCCGCAAGCCACTGTTATCGCTTGGACTTAGAACCTTCTTATCGCTCGGCAACCTGTACGATGGCCTTGCGGGCCTTAAATTATATGTTTCTTGCTTTCTGAGAACCTCTTGATGACCGTAGTAAAATATGAAAAAAAATTGGGGTTGACCAAGTAATTGCTCAGAATTACCAAACTATTATATACTGAATCAGTATATAACAGACTCTTGATCAGTATTGTAAGTACTGTATTATTAAATTACCTGAAAAAAAGATATACGTCTAATTTCACATGTAATAATATATTTACACTTATACTGATGACTCACAAGACGGTAAATACATATAACAGGTGGTAAATGGTCATCGATTTCGATTGGACACTCCAACCATCATCAGACCCAATAGCCGAAAGGAGCAATAGGAGGAGGGGCGATTGGGAGGTACGCCTATCTGATGATGATTGGAGTGTCCAATCGAAATCGATGACCACTAGCCACCTTTTATATGTTTGTTACTTTTATATGTATTTACCGTCTTATGAGTCAACAGTGTACTATTATGCAAAGAATGATAAAAATATTAGTAAAAAAGAAAGAACAAGACTTAACCTTTTAATTGTGAACACTGAATAATAATCTAAAACAATAACAAACAACGTATGTTTAAAACATCATATGACATCCTCCCCTTCGGACGATTATTTCACTGGGATGATTTGGGCTCTACTTCGTCGCAGTGTTGATCCGTTGTCCTGCTCAATTAGGTAGGATCTTGGCTCTTGAATTTTAGCCTTCACCACACATTTTCTCCTCAGATCCGGTACCCAAAGGGCCCTTTCACACGAGGCCACTGGTGGCCGCCAACGGTGGCCGCCACTGGTTGCCCGCCACAGCTTTAACATTATTTTAAATGGGACCTTTCACACACAGCCACTGTAGTTGCCCGCCACTACACAGTGGCCGAGCAGTGTCTTCTCGCGCAACTGCTAGTCGGCCACCGCCGGCAACTGCAGTGGCGGCAACTCGTCGCGGGGCATTGAATTATATGGGAGCTTTCACACGTAGCAACCAGTGGCCGCTACCAGTGGATGAGCACGCAGCTATTTTGAATCAGTTCACGTGCAGACTGCAAAGACAAACGCACTATGGTTGTAGTTGTTGAGTGTTTTCGTGTTGAATTGTTTGTTTGTGAAAATGAGTGATCAGAAGAAAAATAAAGAGGACGTTGCTGAAAAAGAAAAAGACAAAGGAAAACAACAGAAGAAGAGAATAAACAAAATAATAGAAAACAAAGTGGATACTGATGATCTAATTTGCGAAATTGAAAAGTAACCGGCTATTCGGTATAGTACGCCTGTGTCTTTGCCTTATTTTCTTTATTATCAACGCGAGAAGAAGGAGATGTTCATTGTTCGACAGCATGTACAGCATTTCTACCAGTACAGTGGCTGTAGTAGAGTGGCTTGTAAGTTGCCTGTACCATCCACTGCAGTTTCCCGGCCGGTAACTGGTGGCGGACACCGGTGTCCGCCACCAGTGGCCTCGTGTGAAAGGGCCCAAACTGTACAGCCGGGATGAAGATCGGAAAGGTCCCTTGCCCCGTGGCGCTTGTCATATCTGGCCTTCATCCCCTCCCTGATGAGTTTTTCCTTAGCTTGGATCTTTGCATGGTCTGGCAAAGAGGGACGTAGGTTTTCTGTTAAGATAGGGACGGTGCTCCTGATCTTCCTTCCCATGAGTAATTCCGCTGGGGAATATACATTTTCCAAAGGAGCTGTTCGGTAGGAAAGTAGACCAATTTCAACATCTTTACATTTTGACAGGATTTTTTTAGCTGTGCTCACTGCAGACTCAGCAAGACCATTTGACTGAGGCAGTTTAGGGCTGCTGGTGATAATTTCAAACCCCATATCTTCAGAGAATTGCTTCATTACGTCACTAGTTGGCTACCGTTGTCACAACGTAGGCGGTGAGGTACACCAAACCGTGAAAACTTTTTTTTCAGACAAGTAACTATTACATTTGAATTGATATAGTTTAAAGGTCCAATAATTTCTAGATAACGAGAAAAGTAGTCTTGGACCACCGGATAGTTTTGTCTTTTATAAACACATAAATCTGCACCAACTACCGACCATGGTAACGTTGGAAAGTCTGTAGGGATGAGTGGCATTGTTGGAATCCTTCTATTCTGCAGGCAAATGAAGCAGTCAGTTACCTTCCTTAAGAAATTTTGCTGAGACTTAACATTTTCAGATTGTTTAACTCTATCAATGGCTCTCTCTAGGGTTAACTCTGGGTCCATTTGAAGAGAGAGAGACAGTTTTTCATCAGAAATCCCAACCACAATTCTGTCACGAATCAACTCTTCGCGGAGATTACCGTATTTACAAGTTTTTGACAGGTCAAAGAGACACCGTATGAATTCATTTACAGGTTCGCCTTCTTTTTGATTACGTTTATTAAACATGGCCCTCTCGTATATAATGTTAGTCTTCTTTGCGAAATGTTTGTGAAAACATGCTGTAACAAAATCATAATCACCAAGAGTCTCACCACCTAAGTTAAAACTTTCGAGAATACCACCTAAGTTAAAACTTTCGAGAATAGTCTCGGCTTTAGGGCCCATTGTAAGAATTAACGTGTTGATTTTGGTTTCATCAGACTCTAAAACCAATTTTGATGCTGACCTATACCTCTCAAATGTTCGGAACCAAATATCCCATTGTGAATCAACAAACGAAAAGGGTTGCGGTGTCTGACCCTGGTACCTAAACTCCTGACGAACGAGTGTTGCATTAGAACTTACTGTTTGTGACTATAAACTAAAATTTGGATCCTCTTGACCTTTCCTTTGTCTTCTCTTGGACATTTTACGCACCTGACACCATGTACTATTATGCAAAGAATGATAAAAATATTAGTAAAAAGAAAGAACAAGACTTAACCTTTTAATTGTGAACACTGAATAATAATCTAAAACAACAACAAACAACATATGTTCAAAACATCATATGACAAACAGTATAAGTGTAAATATATTATTACATGTGTTATTGGACATATATCCTTTTTTCAGTATTCACTCATAACTACTGTTGTATGTATTGCCACAAACGTGTTGTGAAAACTATTATTTATTTTTTGAGGAAAGGGTTATTTCAAATTTAGCCAGGGTCATTGAATAAAGGTTTTAAAACTTCGGGCTCCTGGTCACTTTCCAGTTTCTGTCCAACCCAAATTCAAAGACTCATGTTTGAGTTGGGTCTTAGACTTATCTCTTTGCCAGATAAATGAAACTTATACTTGATCTTTTCCTTTGAATCAAAATTGAAGCCAGAGTATGTTATATTAATGTCACATGTAAATCATGTGACATTACTGTTTCTATATTGAGCCATTGGATTTCAAAACATTACAATACCCCATGACTCAATCTCGCTAGTTTGTGAACTCATTCAATTATTACGCCCTACACTTAAAGCCAACTTTAATCTAAATCGAAACAAAATTGCTCAATATATTGCTTTAACGGATACATATATCTAAAGATTTTTACGAATAGTAAAGTATTTTAGAATCTGGGAACATCAAAATTAAAAATGAAATCGGCCCCGGGCCCAGGTCTTGCCGTGCCACCAACAGTAATAGCTACCTTCCTAAGGAAATTTGCTAAAATTAATTCAATGTTCATTTTACGATCCTATGACCTGTATTCTACCTGGAACTCACTTAATAATAAATATTAAGCCAAACAGTGATGGTGTTTGGGATATTGACCGTAAACTTTGTTCAGCTAACTTGAGGAAGTAACTTTGAATATAAAGATGAAACTTGGTCACTTGGGGGAAATTCGGTAACCAAAGTGTCAATAGCTTCAACTTTGCGCTTTTGGTGTTCGATTTTCCACATAAAACATTCACACTGTTGGAAAGGTAAGATGCATATGCGTAGTTTTTCATTTTATAATTATTTATTTACTGCTTAACGTTTACCAATGGTAAAATCACAAATTTTTCATTACTCACAATATTGCAAACTAATTTAAATGCGAGGATTTAACTATTGATTTGGTTTACTTATCTCAATACCTATACGACATGAGTATACGCATTTCATTCTAAAAGTAAAAATTCACATACGTTGCTATAGCCTTAGCAATAAATAATGTTAACAGGAATTTTATCATCATTGTATAGCTCAAAAATCATAGTATTTATTTAATACTAATTATTGGATTGGATCGGAAGAAAAGAATTTAAGTAATAGAAAAAATATAAACAAGCGGATTTGCATTATCTGTACATACTGGCTGCGTATATCTTAAGTATTATATTATACCACTGAAAAAAGTATGTCAAAAACGCATTCACATCTTATTGTGCACATTTTCATGGAAATGTTGTTTAATCTTGTAGAGGATGACGTATTACCGCATTTTTGCAGGTACGTTTGCAGTAGTTTTGCAGGTACGTCAGGGCATTTTTGCGTGTACCGTGTAATATGTTTTGTTATTGACACTAACGAACGCATAAATAAAAAGTATTTTTCTATTCGCAAGAACACATTATTCCATCTTGTAAAATGTTTGATTTCTGATGGAAACAAATAAAAGAATGATAATAAAATTCCCTAATCGATCTGAAAACTAATAATCTAAACTAATTCAACTCTTAAACTCTATTTCCGAAAGTAGTAAACTGTTTTCCTCTCTTTAAAATAGTTTGACACATGCCACTCTGAAAATGTGAAGCACTTTTAAACTTCCTTCATCAAATTATTTACTCGTCTAAGTTTAGTTTGAGTTACTGACAGTCGTGGGAATCGATTTGTAAGTAACATTTTGCAGTGTTATAAATATCAGGACTTGTCAATTATAGGTTTCAAAGCAGAAAAAATGTCAAGAAAGTTAAATCTTTCCAATATGGCGGGTGGCGCGGAGGGGGGAAAATTATGCATTTTGCCTACTGGTCGGATGGTCAGTTTAACTTATACTCGTTAGAGTATCCTAATGTAGGAAATAAACTTGGATGCTATTAAAATCTTGTTTTTCCTACTATTACTATAAACTACATGAAATAAATATTTTACTGATACAATACTGCAATTCTTTTAATAATCTGAATAAAAACTGTTTTCAACATTCTCACAATATACAAAAGCAGCTGATCCAGAACAATAGCAAATTTAAGAAGATCAGCTGTCTGTAAAAAGGCAAAAGGCAAAATGATCCAACTACGTTTATTGGATCCTGAAATTAATTTCACTCTTTACTGATATACATTGCATAAAATGAACAATGATCTTCATAAATAAATAAAGATTAATACTTATATATAAAATTCAGCGGTTTACTGCGTAAACAAATATTCTGAGATCTCACCAAGATGTGTATATCTTTTAAATATGTATAGAAAGAACTAACCTAGCTGTCCTTTATAATTGGGATTTAGTATATTACCAACTGTATGGTAGTAATTGAAGTTAAAATTAAGTTTCCAAACTATTGTTGTACAGGGTGATTGAAAAGTCACGGAACGGTGTAATACATTTTTACTATTATAGATAGAGCAATGAGATTTGGTATATCAATAAAAACCATAAATGTATACTCTTTTGAGCTGTATTATTTCGTTTTTATCCCTTAAGGGGGATGGACCATGATGGGTGAGAAAAATACCTTAAATAGCAGCAAAGGTCAAGTTTGGTATCAAACAAAAAGTCAATAGAACGCCTTGAACTCGAATGGACAACAGAGTAAAAAGTTGCATCAGTTGAAATATTTCTTGAATCTGTCATTTCGTATTTTTAAACGGCTGCCATTTTTTACTCAGTTGCTCTTTTGAGCTCTAATTTATGTCATTGTATTCTACTAATAAAGACCTTAATAATTTTTATGTGCATATCGACCGATCCCTTCTGAATTCTAGCCCGCACCCCCTTAGGAGATAGTGTATAAATAGCATTACAAATTCAACGAATCCTTGAACAGCTGTGGTTTTTTTTTACTCAGTTGTCCGTTGGAGTTCGGGTTTAAGGCAATGTATTTATACTAAGACCTTTAATTTGATACCAAGCTAAACCTATGCTGCTATTTAAAGATTTTATCTGACTCCTCGTAAGCCGCTCCCTTAAGGGATAAAACAGTGATAATAGCTTAAAATAGTAAATATTTATGGATAATATTTATATACCAAGTCTCATTTCTTTATTAATACTAGTAAAAAAATACATTAGACCGTTCCGGGACTTTTCAATCAGGCCGTATTTTAAGAGCGCTATCGAGAGTCCTTTTGTGTAAATCGCACGATATAATTCACGGTTTTTACAGAGTATTACATTTTTGTTTTGAACATTAAAAAGTAAATTTTTTAATTGAATTAACAAATATAAGTGTAACTATAAAGATGTATCTAAATCATAGTGGTATTTGACTCTTAACCAACAAAGCGAGTAAGAGATGAAAGAGAGGACAAAGTTAATTACATTGACATGGAAGGAGACAAAGGAAGGTAGTTTTGTAAGCTTAACCTCAGCGAGATTACGTGTGTTGTATCTCAGTGTAGAGGTCACTTGGCATTGACAAAATACACTTTGCAAAGCTTATCCTACAACAATGTGTAGTAACAAAGTTACGGATACTAAATGATATAGGTTCCCATAATTCTCTCAAACGATTCTAATAAAAGTCAGACTTGTATATTATTGTTCACTTTAAATAAAAATAATATACAGATAATATTTAGATAACTAAAACAGATGCTTTCCCGACAGTAGGATGAAAAAATATTGCTTAAAGCTCTTGTTAGCTGTAAGGCAAGTTTCAATCGGAAACAAAATTGCTATAGAACATTTGCAAAGTTAAAATTAGTATTTAATCAGTTTTCAAACTTATATGTGTCGCTGAAAC